ATTAAATTACGAAACCATTTTTATAAGGATTATTTACTGATGTAATAAAATTTTAAAAATCGAGTTGCATTCAGACAGGTTTCACTGTACACTGAAAAAAAAATTTATTTGATTCAAATAATCGATAACTTGTCGAATATCAAATAAATATTTACTTGAATTAAATAATAATTAATTCAATCAATTAAATGGTATTTGCTTTAAATACTGAAATATTCGATTCAAATAAAAATTATTTGATCCGAGTAAATATTCATTTGATAATAGTCAAGTAATTGGTTATTTAAATCAAATAGATTTCTTTTCGTAGTTTCTGTAAGGATTGAAAAATAAGGTTTATTTTTTAAAAGAGGGGTTAAATAATTTTTTTTTAAATTTGGAAATGTTTTATTTTAGTTTTTGAATTAATTTAAAAATTAAAAATATTTTTTTTTTGCCTCAATTTCTAGTTTAGAAAATACTGTCAATAAACTTGAAAATTGAACGATTATATAGTGAAAGGGAATATTATTTTTCTCTTTGATATTAGATTCAAATGAATCTTTGAGGGCGAGAAGGAAAGTCAGCTACATGTACATTAACGGGCACCTTACAAGAAATTGTAGATGAGGTCCGATTATGTATTTCGATCGCACGCGATATCAAGACAACTACTACGCCTTGTACTTGTGATGGAGTGTTTTCTCCGGTTCTGCCCACTATCGCTCAGTTAGAGGTTATATACTTTCATTTAGCGAAAGTATTCCATTTAAAAACAATTTATCGATAAAAAGAAAAGTGAAAAAAAATCACAAATCTTCTTCTTTTAATTTCCCTTTTCATTTTACAAAAAATAAATTTTCCAAAAAAAAATTCGGCAAGAAATTTATACTATTTTTAATACATTTACTTCAAAACTTTTGTATTTGAATTTTACTCATTTCATTTTTAATTCAATTTTTCTTTTTGAAAGACAATTTTTTACTTTTTCTTTTTTGGATTATTTTCCTTGAACCGTAAATTTTTGTTTTATAATAGAATTTTATGTATTTGAGTCTGTATAAAGGGGAGTAAATAATTTCTTTCAAAAAAAAACAAAACAAATTCCTATTTCCTTGTTCTCATTAAAAAAATATGACATTTTTTTCAAGGGAGAAAAAATGGAGAGGACAAGTACTTTCTTTTATGTTAATTTTCCTTTTTTCTACGCTTGTTTACCACTCCAACCAACACATAGACTCTTTACATTTTCGTCATTTACATAAATATGCTGTTTCGGATTTTTTTCTTTGCCTCGCATTTTGACAATAAACTCGAGATAGAAAAAAAAGGGGGAAATAAAGAATTTACTTTTTACAAAACTTTTCTTAATTTCTTGCGGGGGGTGTGGAAAAAATCTCACAAATTAAAATACAGTAGAGACTCCATTATCCGGACTAATGGAAGCAGACGACACTTATTCGGATAATGGAAAATCCGGATAATCGTAAAAAGTAAATTTAATATTTATTTATTTAAATATTATATAGGTAAATACTAATTTAATTTTTTATTTACAAGACAAATCGACCTTTCGTAAACAAATATTTTTTTATAAACGAATTTTACTCGTTAAGATGAAAAAAATATTTAATATCAATAATTCAAAAAAGACTAAAATCGTAAGAAAGTTCGCACTTTAAGTATTAAGGAAAATTAAATAATTAATAAAGTGAAAATTTTTGACAAAAAGTGAATAATGACAAAGAGGGAGAGAAGGCAAAAAAAATATATGTATATATACATTTAGGCGTAAAAAATACGACAAATTAACGAGTAAAAGTGCGACACTCAAAAGAACATCTAAAGTTTCCTGGGGCGTAAAAGAATTGTTGTTGCTAGTTAAAAGTCGCGAGTGAGAAACGTTTTACAGCACAAAGTAAATGTTTTGCTGGCAGAACAATTTGTATGACAATGCAATTTTTCTATTTCTTCTCTACGCTATATAGTGTACATATTTTATAATTAAAAATAGAAACGAATAATTCTTCTTTTGAACAAGAGAACTTTTGCGGGGAAAAACAATAAAAATTACTTTTTTATTAAATGAGAATTTTGTCTTGAATTTTATAATTTCAATTCAGAATTCTTTATTTTTAATTTGGAATTTTTAAATTTAATTACAATTCAGAATTCTTTATTTTCAATTTAGAATTTTTAAATTTAATTTCAATTCAGAATTCTTTATTTTAAATTTTAAATTTAAATTTAATTTCAATTCAGAATTCTAAATTAGTTTCAATTCAGAATTCAAATTAAATTTTGAGTCAGAATTCTAATTTAATTTCAAACTCAAATTTAAATTAAATTTTAAATTAAAATGTGCAATTTCCATTTAAGCTTAAAATTAAATTTTTCGAATTTTAAATTGACTTTATGATTAAAATTAAAAGTTTCGTATTTCAGTTTTAAGTTACAATTTTTAATTTTTATTTAAGTTTACAATTAAATTTTATAACAATTGAATTGATTTTATAATTAAAACTCCAAATTTCATATTTAGTTTCAAGTTACAACTTTTAATTTCGATTTAAGCTTAAAGTTATTTTTTTTGCAAAAATTTCTAATTGAGTTCATAATTGAAATTAAAAATTTCGCATTTACATATAAAATTAACATTTTCAATTTCGAATTATGCTTAAAATTATTTTTTGCAATTTTCTAATTGCCTTTTTAATTAAAATTGAAAATTTCTTTTTTAGTTTCAAGTTACATGTTTTAATTTTGATTTAAGCTTAAAATTAAATTCTTGCAATGTCGAATTGAATTCATAATTGAAATAAAAAATTTCCTATTTTATTATAAAATTAACATTTTCAATTACGAATTAAGTTTATAATTAAAAAAAAAAAAATTTCGAACTGAGTATATAAAGTTAAAACTATTACATTATATTCTACAATAAAAAAATTACGAAAATACTCGGAACTTTTTTTGCATTTTTCCTCTAACACTTCTATTTAAAAAAATATTTTCCCAAAATACAATAAAATTTACGAGAACAGCATTAAAAAAAACCACAAAAAAACTCGAGATATGAAAAATAAAAACTTGTAACAAAATATTTCGAAAATTCGTCAAAAACAAGAACATATTTTATTTAACATAAAAAGTAAACATAAAACGCAAAATTAATTTTTAAAAAAAATGCATACATTGTAACGCCAGTATAAACAGTAAAATGAAACAAAAAAAGAAACAACGAAAAACGTCTATAAAAAAAATCCTTTGAGAACGAAAAAAAAATTTTTTTTCTACTTGAAAATTAATCAGATCCTTTGAACCAAGAGTTTGACATTCTTTGTGTTGGCAAAAGAGAAGAGAGAGAGAGAGAGAGAGAGAAGGAGGAGGAGGAAAAGGGAAAAAAATATTCTTCTTTAGTAACTCAATATACAACTGGGTCACTTTAGATATAAAACAGCGTAAGCATTGCAATTGTAACCAATACATAAATACAATAAAAATGGAAAACAAGCAAGAAAATAAGAGAAAGCGTTAAAAGTTGACAAATGCGAGAAGAAAATAGTGCAAGTACACTGTCATTGTATTGTCTCTTGTTTGAAATTGCGTGTTTTTATCGGGTAATTGGTTGTGAGGATAAGAGACAACGAGAGAGAGAAAGAGAGAGAAAATACCCCTCCTCCTTGTTTCGAGCTGTTCCAAGTATGTTACGCTCGTATGTTTGTTTTAGCTTTAAGAGGTGGATGAAAAGGGTTCGGGGCGAAGGAGAGGGAGGAAAGGGGGTGTTGAATTATACCGAGGAACTATAGGAAGTGAGGAAAAGAGGGAAAGAGAGAGGGAGGGGGGGTTAAAGATAATCACACGCCTTGCAACAACCAGTTCATCATGGTATCGTGCCAGGGGTTTTTGATGCATCGGTGAAAATACACAGCACGAATGCCACCCTTTATATAACGCGTGGCCCTTCCAACACGCCCTTCCTGCAAAGTAAAACTCTATTAGCACTCCGTGTATATTGTATATATAAAAGAAAAAAAAATATAAAAGAGAAAAATATTCCAACAAAAAACCCTTCAAAAAAAAAAATCCTCTTTCACTCTCTTAACTCTCTTTCTCTCTCTCTCAAAAATTAAAAAAAAAGGAAATTTAAAAATTTACTTGAAAGGTAAAATTTTACCAATTTTTTTTTTCCTTTTATAAAAAAACGAATCAGATGCGTCAAAAGAGCCATAAGCTAAATGTTATAATTCAACTTGGCACGCAACGACAATTCAAGCATTAGATTTTTGACAGTTGAAAATGCCGAAAACTTGATGCGATGATAGCACACTTGTTAATTGTACATTTCTAGCGAGTTTTTTGCGATATCTTTCGCAATATGAAATGGAGCGATTTCATGTCCAATCAGATAACGAATTTTTTTTCCAACCATTTTTTTTTCAAGGCTTCCTCAATTATTGAATGACGGACGATTTTTTTTTCACTGTCCTTTAGTTTCAACGGTTTTTTTTTTTTTTTTTTTTTTTTTTTTTTTTTTTTGCGAACCTGTCATTTCGATAAAAAGGGCAATTTTTTAAAAAGTTATTTTTTTAATAGATCTTTAAATTTCATTGTTTGTCCTAATGGTTTTTTTTTTTAAATGAAAGTCGAAAAATGATATATAAAAATTTTTTTTTATACTCTAAAAAGAATTTAATAATGAATTATATAAATAATTACATTATCTTTCATTTTTCTATTTTCATAGTACATTTCAAGGGAAAAAGGCTATTATTATTTTATTTTATTATTTATTATTCAGAATAATTTTATTTTATTTTATTATTTATTATTAAGAATAATTCGATAAAAAATTATTCATAATAGAAAATAAAATTGATTTTAGAAAAGTATATATAAAAATTTAGTGAATTAGAAATTTTTCAATAAAAGAAATATTTCTATACATGTTTATATGGTATTTGGCTCTCAAAAAGATTTTTCATGCATATTTATGGAAAATATTTTTTTGTTTGCTTTAGGAACGCTGCAAATCACGATGTCTGAAGTCAAGGACCAAGGAAAGTACGAATGTGTGGCAAATAACTCCGTTGGTACTGAATATTCCAAGTCAACTATACTTTACGTTAAAGGTAAGAAGCATGGAAAAATATTTCCATTTCTATTTAAAGTATTACTTTATTCATTTATCAATATAAAATAATTTTAATAATAATAATATTAATAATAATAATATTAATTATTTTTATTATCATTATTATTATTTAGCCTTTTTCTTCTTCAAATTTATTATTTTTAATGCATATTGCAACAATATATAATGTATAATAAATAATAATATAATATATTTAATATATAAATAAACAAGGTAAATAGTAAAATAAATAGGTAAAATAAACAAAATAAATTAATTCAAACCTATTTTTTTGGTTGGCCACATATTTTTGGATTTAAAATAAAAGTTCTCAGTATAACTTAAAGAAAGAAGAAAAAAGAAAACAATAAATAACATTTTTAAAATATAAAAAATAAAACAAATAAAATAATTAGTAAAATAGATAAAAAAAAATAAATAAAATTAATATTAAAATACTAATATTTTATACATTAAATATAATGTTTTAATAGGATTTTTACACAATATTAAAACATTAAACGTCAATGTATTTTTTAATATAAAATACACGATGGGAATTATTAACTCAATTTTAAAAGAAGCATTTTAATTATAACCTTTTTAAGAGAATTATTAAACTTTTAGATATTAATTACTATGTTAAAATTATTTAATATTTTAGTTATTATCAAATAATTATTCGTATTTCCGTTTCTCTCACTGCAAGTAATTACTCATTATTTCTAATTATACTAATTGAATGTGTTAATTTTTAATTATTATTTAAGTACCTAGTTTAAATTTAATTTAGTAAATGAAACTTGTGATTCGTATTTTAAGAATCTTAATGGAAAATGCTAATTAATTATAGCGTTCTAATTTTTGTTTTATCAACTCTGTCAAATGTACGTACAGTTAATTATATCATCAATATTTTATAAATTTGAATTAATTTTTTGTTTATTTATACATTTTGTACATTTTGACATGTTTTACATTTTATACATTTATACATTTTTATATTTCTACATTTTTTGCATTTTTTACATTTTTTACACTTTAAACCATTTTTACATTTTATAACTTTTTTACATCTAAAAATTTTACATTATAATAAAATATATTTTTACACTTGCATTTCATATTATTATGGAAATATTTTTTTATCAAACATTTTACAAGTAAATGTAAATTTAAAAAAAAACATTTTATTAAAAATATAATATTGAAATAAAAAAAGAGTTTATGGTTTCTAAATTTATTACCGATAAAAAAAGGAGGAAGAGAGAAGGAGGGGAAGGAAAGAGGGAGAGATAAGTTGATATATAAGTAAAATCAAGAGGGGTACTTAGTTGTGCGATAAAAATCCTTGTCGAACTTGTTAGCACGTGTTTGAGTCTCGAAAAGAGATCTTTAATCTTCCCGGAATAAAAATTATAGACACCAAAATCAACACAAAACGTGTCTGATCGTAAATTTCCTTATCTACTTCTCTCTCGTTTGTGTGTTCTCACATACAAACTAAAACGACCAAAAAAAAAAAAAAAATAAAATAAAACTGTTTTTCTAACACCACATATCATTACATTATTTAGTTTCTTATCTAAATGCATTCGCCAATACAGCCATTGAAAATAGGAGAATAATTTTCTTTTTTTCTTCAAAAAAATTCCATTTTTACATTTCAAGGGAATTACTTTTAAAAAATTGCATTTTATTTCTCGAGGAGATATTTTTCTTTTTTCAACAATCCATCGAATGCGAAAAGCGAAATTGACAAATATGTAAAGGAAAAAAAATACGACAGAAGAAGTCTTTGAATTTTTATAAAAAAAAAAATGTTTGCAAATATTATAAAAAAAATATATATATAAAATATAAATGTAAAAATATTAATTTTTTTTTATTATTTTTATTTGAATAAATAAGAAAAAATCAAACTATTAATAAATTATCATTTATTTTGTCCATAAAGAAATGTTGTACGGTTTTTTAATGCATATTACAAAAAAATAATATAAAAAGAACATAAAATAGAATGTATCTATAAATTTAAATTCTAAACGTAAAAATTGTAAATTATATATAAGGGAAAAAATTTGAAGGATGTTTTTTTGAAAATCCAATTTCAGAACGTCGAGTACCGCCTCAATTTTCAATTCCTCCACCAACTGTGATTGAAGTTATGTTTGGTGCAACTTTAAATTTGACGTGCGTTGCTTATGGTGCGCCAATGCCTTATGTCAAATGGAGAAAGGAACCTGATACCGATATGACACCCGATGACAAACTACCAGTCGGCAGAAATGTCCTTATTCAAAATAATATTCAGGAATCGGCAAACTTCACATGCATTGCAGCCAGTGAACTCGGTTTAATTGAATCCACAACAATGGTCAAAGTTCAATGTAAGTTTAAAAAAAAAAAAATTAATTATCTTTTTTTTATAATCTATTTTTCTTATTTTTATGTTTTCATTTTATTTCTACTCTTCTTTTTATAATTATTTTATTTTATTTAATTATTTAAGTATTTTGTTAAATGATATTATTTTAAATTATTATAATTATTTCAAATTCTGATACATACTTTAATTTATTATAATTTTTTTATTTTATTCATTTTTTCTACTTTTATATTTCAAATATTTTTATTTTCAATTGCACGAAAAATGTTCAACTCGCATTCCTAAAATTAGTTATTTTATTTTATTTATACTATTTTTAGATTTAAAAATATTTACTTTCAATTGCACAAAAAAATATTCGACTCTCACTTATTGAAATAACTAAACAAAAAATGTAATTATTTTCAAAAATATTTAAAAATCAATTATTTTTTAAACGAATTTTAATAATATTTTTAAGAATAATGACATTTTTCGAGGAATTCAATTAAAATTGTATTAAAAATAATTGAAATTCAATGATAAGTTCTATTATTTATGAAAATAATTGAATCTCGGTAAAAATTTTTATTACTTATGAAAATAATTTAATGTTTGCTTTAAATTTTATCAACACTTTTTTTAAATAATTGAAATCTTTTGAAAAATTTTATTATAAAATAGTAGATATTGAAAATGATTGAATTGAGGATAATTTTTGAAAATAATTGAATTTTGGAGAAGAATTTTATTATTTTTAAAGATAATTAAAATTTTGACGTGGCATTTTAAAAATTTTTTTGAACATAATTGAAGAACTGCGAAGAATTTTATTACTTTTGAAAATAAATTAAATTTCTGCAATCATTTGTAACTTCTACTCTCTAAATCTGAATATGTGAAATTTCACTTATTGTACGTTATAAGTCGTCCTCTCGATCAATAAGTGCATATACACTTATAAATAAGTGAATTTTTCACTTATTCTGAGTGAAATTTCACTTATTATAAGTGTATATGCACTTATTGATCGAGAAGACGACTTATAACGTACAAATATGTGAATTTTCACATATTCAGATTTAGAGAGTATGGAATAAGTAAAATTTACAAATTAAAATTAAATGAATAATAAAAATAAACAAAAATTAAAATAAATTACTATAAATTGCTATTTATAAGTAAAATTTACAAAATCAAAAGCAAAATGTCAGTCTCTAATTCAAATTAGTAAACATTTTTACTAATTCAAATTTAAAGAGTTATGAGATGACTGAATATAATAAAATTAATAATAAAACACTAATAAATGTAATGAAAGCAATAAAATAAAAATAGATATAAATAATATAACTTTATAAAAAATGATTCTTCGTATAATATTCTAATAAAATATTTCCTATATTGAAAAATTGTAGGCGATAAAAATTTTATAAAACCTTTTTCCATCAAAGAACACACATACATGATTCACATATAGATTAAAACTAAATAAAAACCTTTTATTACAGAATTTTTTTTTGAAAATTTACACACATTTTTTATGTACTTTTTTTAAGCTATTGCTGTTTTCAAATTAATGCCTTTTATTTCAAACAAAATGTACATACAATATTATAAAATCGCTAAATCCGATTATTTTAAATGCCATAAAATACTTGTAAATAATTTTCCCTTTTTTTATTATTAGCTTTTGGGGAAAATTTTCCACAAATGAAATTTTTCTCTTTCAGGGAAAAATGAAATTTTTTAAGTTTAAGTTTTTTTTTCATTTTTCTATTATATTGAATTGACTTGTGTTCTTAAAATAATTATCTTCCATTTTTGTTGAATAAAAATTAAATTATAAAATTTTTTATTTCAATTCTTGTATTTTAGTTTATTATTTTTTTTTAATTTTTCTATTGTCTGTTTGTTATTATATCATTCGATCAAATTATTTTCTTCTATTTTGATATTTCATTAGTGTATTAAATTCTTTAAAATCAATTAAGATTTTTTTCTCTCTTTTGTTTTCTTCTTTTAATTTATTTTTACTATAGCAAAAGAGGGCAAACGTTATAAAATGAAATATTTTTAACGCAATCATCTACTCGTTGAACTCGTAATAAAAGTCAATTCTTTTTATTATTCAATATTTGTTATATCTTGTGAAAAGCTTTTTTCAAAAGCTTTTTTCAGATGCTTTCCATCAATTACAAAAGGTTTATTCGCTTCAATAACATGTGTATATATAAAAATTGAATACGTGTAAAAGCAGTCGAAAATATTTTTACTTGTTTATTATGACTTATTTTACTTTTGTTTCTTTGTTTCATTGATTTTCCATTTTTTTTTTCATTATTTATTATTTTAGTTTTTTATTCTCTTTTTTCAATTTTGTATTAATTTCACGGTTTTATTTTACTCATTATTTTTTAATCACTATTTTTTATTATTTTATTATCACTTTATTTTTTATTATTTTATTATTTTTATAGAATTTTATTTTACTTTCGATACTTTTGCTTTTTAGTGTCAAAATTATATTTCTTATTACTTTTTTTATAATCTTTTTTTTTTATTTTCTAGTGTTTGATTTAATGTATATAAAAATTTCACTGAATTTTCCTAAACTTACGATATTATTTATTTTATAAAAATATAGAAAAGGATATTTGTAAAGTTAAAAATTTTTCTCTGCAATAGCTCTTCCTGGCCCACCGGAAAACGTTCAAGTGTCCGATATTACTGCAACATCGGTGAAATTAATGTGGTCTTACAAGAGACCGGACGAACTACAATATTATGTCATTCAACACAAACCAAAGCATGCAAATCAAGCCTTCGCTGAAATATCTGGAATCACGACAATGTATTATCACGTGCGAAGTCTTAGTCCTTACACCGAGTATGAATTGTATGTCATTGCTGTCAACACCATCGGTCGAGGTCCCCCGAGTGCCCCGGTGATTGTCACCACTGGTGAAACAAGTCAGTATTTCAGAATTCATTTCCATAATCATTATATATAAATACATATATTGCACGTTTCATTTCAAAATCTGAATAGAACAAAAAAAAAAATAATGTTCTTTAATTATCTTGACACCATTTTAAATTAAGCTTTCAATTAGTGGCAAATCGTATATATTTAAATTATTATAAATAAATATTTATACGATATTGATCCCATGTACGAAAATGAATTTTCATTATATACTATTTTTAATGAAAATATTCACTTTCTAAAAATGAATAGTGAAAAAATGTCCGACTGTTTATTGACCGTAACTACTGGACAAAGTAATTTTGACAATAAGTCTGACAGATTTTTTTTTTATCACTGATAACGAAAATTAAATTGGTTTATAATAAGAACTTCTTCTTCAGGTTCTTCTTCTTCTTCTTATACAAAAAATTATTTACTAAATAAAGTAAATAGTACTACTATTTAAATACTACTACTTAGTTTCTACTATTTAAATTAAAATTCTACTGATTACGTCTGACTCAAATTGACTTCTACTACTGATATTTAAATTGCAAAAAATCAGTACATAAATAGACTGACTTAAAATATTTGATCTGACTAATATTGCCTTTACCACTTATACTAAAATATTGCAACTTTACAAAGCTTGGTCTGACTAAAAACTGACTTTTACTACTGATTTTTAAAGTAGACCAGAGAAATAAATAAAAGGTATTAATTTAAAACTTTGTGTCCGACTGACATTGACTTTCACTACTGATACTGAAATATTACAAGTTTCAAACTATTTGTCTGACTAAAAACTCACTTCTACTACTGATAATACAATTTTTCGAAATTGATAAATAAATATAGGAATTTTAAACGTTGCGTCTGACTGATAAGAACTTTTACTACTGATAATTAAATTACAAGAAAATAATGAATAAATATTTAAATTCATAATGTTGCGTCTGACTAATATTTACGTTTACTACTGATTTTAAAAATACATCATATAAACAACGCTTTGTCTGACCAAACGTTGACTTCTACTACTGAAAATTAAATTTCCCAAAACTAGCAAAATAAATATAAATTTAAATCGTTCGGTCTAACTGATATTGACTTTTACTACTGATACTGAGATATTACAAGTTTCTAACGCTTTGTCTGACTGAAAATTGACTTCTACTACTGATAATTAAATTTTTCGGAATTAACAAATAAATTTAAAACTTTGGGTCTGACTGATATTGACATCTGCTACTGATAATTATAAATTCTATGCAATTGAAAAAATTATACGAATGAAATATGTTACGTCTGACTAAAGACTGACTTTTACTACTGATTTTTAAATTAAACAAAATAAATCATTTTTAACATATTGTCTGACTGATATTGACTTTTACTACTGATATTCAAATTATACCAAAATGATAAATGAATATATAAATTTGTAATGTTGCGTCTGACTGATATTGACTTTTACTACTGATAATAATATATTATGAATTTAAAACATTTTGTCTGTCGAAAATTGACTTCTACTACTGGTACATTAATTTAAGGAATCTAGATTTATAAATAAATAAATAAATAAGAAAAGTAGTGTCTGAATAATATAGACTTATACTACTGATAAAAATGTTATAAAAATTTGACAAATTTACTGTATAAATAAAACTTTTGTCTGACTTTCAATACTCACATTAATATTACAATAAGTCGACAAAGTTTTCATCTGATGAAAAAAGCACATTGACCGCCATTTTTTTCACGAATTTCAAACAAACTTCTGACTGAATGTAACATTGACTATTAGAATATAAAATTTAAAATTAAAATTGGAAATTTAAATTAAAAATTTAAGTTAAAAATTAAAATTGCAAATTTAAATTAAAAGTAAAAATTTAAAAGTAAAATTTAAAAATAAAATTACAAAGTACCATTGAATATTAAAATTGAAAAAAATTTCATTTATCAAAATGACGAGAAGTATACAACTTTTTCAAAATTCGAAAATTTCATTTTGTCAGACATTGAAAGAAATTCGTTTTTTGAATGTAATTTTTCTTCCGATAATATCTAATATGCAATATTTAATTCCAAGTTGCACACAAAACAGAATTTCTCAATATATATTTTTCATTACTTTCTCTTGTCAACGACTTGTCTCTTTCAAATATTTTTCACCAAAATGAAACTTTACTTCCATCAAAATGCTATACCACATCAACACTTTTCATTTTTTTTTCAATTTTTTTTTATCGAAAAAAATCATCACATTTATCATTCTGAATATCTTCTTTCTGTTTTTTTTTTTTGTAAAAATAATCTTTTATTTGTATTTTTCATCTATTTTTGAAGCATATGCGTAGAATTTATTTTTTTTCATACAATTCTGCTTTTTTTTATTAAAAAAAATATATATTGTATATTTCGCTTCTGTGCTTGATAATCTTCTCATTATTTTTAACAATGTTTACTGTCGACGATAAATCAAAAGTCAAAATCAAAATCGAAATGACAATAAAAAATATATTTTAATAAAAGCAAAAAATCGAGAAAGTAAGAGTAAAAGAAAAATAAAATAAATAAATAAAATAAATAAATGAAAAAAATTAAAGTACAAGTTTCTGATTGTGAAAATTTTCGGCAAAACTTATAATTTGGACGAAAAATATTTTATCTTCGACAAAATAACAAATTTTTGATGAGAAAAGGCAAGAACGTGCGGTAATTTTTCCATTCTTTTTTTCTCCAAAAAAAAAAAAGAAGAAACATAGAATTTTTTGCACCTAGATAGTTTTTTTGCACTGGCTGAAAATTTTTTTGGCATGTATTTTTGAGGGGAAACTTTATATTTTTTCACGCTGTCCAACTGTGGACACATTTGAAAACCCATGTAAGTGAGAAGAATTTTTTATCATCTACCATTTTTTACACCTATTATATATATATGTATATTAATGTATTGCACCTCGTAAATATTTTTTTTAAAAAACATTTTCACACACAAAAATATTTATCCACTAAAAAAAAATATTTATATAATAAATACAACATTTGTCATTTTTTTCCTATTTTTTTCTAATCAACAATTTACAATAGAAAAAATAAAACAAAAAACAATCACTATATTAATCAAAAAAAAAAAAAAAAGAATCGTAGTGCACCTGTAAATGTAGTGAAAATACGAATGAAATTTATGAAATTTCACTTGTACTTTCACCGTCTATTGTTTATAGAAGCGAAAAATAATCGATTTGTCTTTTCCCCTGTAGCGGATTCAACATATGAAGGTGCCAGTAAGTTGAAAATTATGTAACTAAGAGTGGAAGTAGTGATTCTTTGGTTTCATTTCATTTACCGAAAATTATTTCATGTAGCACTTTATTTATTTCGTTTCATTTTTTCCACAAAGGGTATGGAAAAGATTTCTTGTCGTTTCGTCAATTTTTACAGTAGAATTTTTTTTAAGTTTAAAAGAAGGGACATTTTTTTACTGTACTTATTTATATTTAATTATTAATTGAATTATTATTTTAATTGTTAATTTAGTTATTAATTTATTTATTAATTTAATTGTTAATTTGATTATTAATTTAATTATTAATTTAATTATTAATTTAATTATGAACTTAATTATAAATTTAATCAATAATTTAATTATTAACTTAATTATTAATATTTAAAAAGTAAAAAGTTTATAGATTTAAAAAACGACTGGTTTTCTGGGTTATTGCACAATTTATTTTTTTCACACTTCTGAAAAAACTAGCACCAAATTTTCCTTTTATTATTTATTTGTAGGTAAAGGTCTTCTCTTGGAAGCACTAAAAAAATTTTTTGAAAAATTGCAGAGAATTAACAATTTCTTTTTTGATAATTGTTTTAGAACCTGGTACAGCGCCACGTAAGGTCCAAGTTCGGCCTCTTAGTTCCAGTACAATGGTTATTCAGTGGGATGAGCCAGAAACTCCAAATGGTCAAGTAACAGTAAGTAGTTTTCGAACAAATATTGCTGAGCTTCTCTATTTTACTTTAATTATCTTCCTCGCTTGATTTCTCTTCCATTTGATTTGAATTTCAGTGGAGAAGATTAAAAATATTTTCTTAACAAATTAAAATGTTCATCAAACAAGAATTTCAAAAAGAGCAAAAAAAATTTAACTGAAAATATTTAAAAACAAGAGAATTTAAAAAAAGAAAAAAAATTAACATAAAAATATTTAGAATACAAAAAAAATATTTAATGGAAAATATTTAGAAGCAAAATAAATTTTTTTTCCTAAATGGGAAATTAAATTTTTGGGAAAAAAATAAATAATTGAAAAAAAGGAAATAACATTTTTCTGCATAAAGGAGAGTTAAATTTTTTCGAAAAAAAATAAATACCTATTTAAAAAAAGGAAATTAATTTTTTTATTTATTTATTTTTTTTAAATAGGGTTACAAGGTGTATTACACGACGGATCCAGATCAACCAATGGCATCGTGGCAATCGCAAATGGTTGATAATAATCAATTGACGACAATTGCCGATCTCACGCCACATACAATTTACACCATAACTGTGCAAGCTCTCACGAGCGTTGGACCTGGTCCCGTTAGTCCTTGGGTGCAAATAAAAACACAACAAGGGGTACCGAGCCAACCGGAAAATTTACAGGCAGTGGAACTTGGGGAGACCAAAATTACGCTCCAATGGGACAAACCCGCCCATAGCGCTGAAAATATTCTCAGCTATGAGCTCTACTGGAACGATACTTATGCAAAGGTAAAATTTTCTTTTTTTTTATATTCAATCTACTTTTATAATTAAGAAAAAAAAAATTACCTCCCTTTTAAAATGGAAAAAGAAAAATTAGAATCGTTGCGTCTGACTAATATTTACTTCAACTACTGATTTTAAAAATACATCATATAGAAGACGCTTTGTCTGACCAAACGTTGACTTCTACTACTGATAATTACATTTCCCAGAATTAGCAAATAAATTTAAATCTTTGTGACTGACTGATATTAACTTTTACTACTAATAATTAAATAACACGGAATTTTTGAAAAAATTATACGAATTTAAAATGTTGCGTCTGACTGAAAACTGACTTATACTACTAATAATAATTAAATTATCCCCAATCTATATTAATAATCGTTGTATTGATTTCTTCAAAAATTTTAATTATTTTTAAAAATCTTGTAAAAATGTTCCGAGAAAATTCAATTATTTTAAAAAATAATTTTTTAAATTCTTATAAGAATTCAATAGTATCAATAAATAGTAAATTTTTCACAGGAATTCAATTATTTAAAAAAGCTTCAATAAAATTCTATTCAAGAATTTAATCAACATTTTTTTCAATAATTAAATTCTTTCGAGAAAATGTAATTAAAATTGTATTGGAAATAATTTAATTCTTAGCAACATTTTTATTACAATTTTTTATTAAATAATTGAATTGTTTTGAAAAATTTATTTCAATTTTCTTGAAAAAAATTGAGTTTTTTCAAATAATTTTTACTGAATATTTTGAAAATAATTGAATTTTAAGCAGAATTTCTTTTAAGTTTTTAAAATAATCGTGTTTATTATTAATTATAATTACTAATTTTTCTATTAAATTATATTAAAATTATTCATAGAAAATGAAATTCGTTTAAACAATTTTATTGGAGTTTTTATAAATAATTACTTTTTTTAAACTTTTCATTAAATTTCGTAAAAATAATATAATTTTTTAAAGTAATTTTAATTAAATATTTTGAAAATAATTGAAATTTACAAAGAATTTTATTAAAAACTCTTGAGAAAAATATTGAATTGTTTAGAAAAATTTTATTACAATTTTTAAAAATAATTGAACCAGTTAGAGAAATTTTATTTAATTTAAATCTTAAATATAATTGAATTTCTTCCTAGAAATTTTATTCAAATTGTATCTGAAAATAATTGAATTTCTCAGAAAAATGTTATTATTTACAAAAATAATTGAATTCTCGACAAGAATTTTACAATTTATAAAAATAATTGAATTGAATTTTTATTAAAACTCTTGAAAATAATTAAATTTAAATAATATTTTTAAAAATAATTGTATTCTTTCCAAGAATTTTATTAAAATTGTATTGGAAATAATTGAATTCCTCGTAAACATTTTATTATTTATGAAAAATATTTTAATTCTTTTCGAAGAATTTACTTGTTTATGAAAATAATTGAATTCTTGCGAAGGATTTTACAATGTAATTGAATTGTTTCGAAGAATTTTATTATTCATGAGAATAATGAAATTTTTGCGACTAACTGTATTGAAATTTTTGAATAATAATAAACAAGAATATTTAATATTATTTACTTAAATGTAAATTACTAGTTAAATAAATAAATATAGAGTTTTAACGTTGCGTCTGACTAATATTGACTTCTACTACTGATTTTTTAAATTAGACCAAATTAATAATTAAAAGTATGAAATTTCAGGTCTGACTGATATCTAAATCAGAATTAATAATAATTCCTATTCTTGTAGATAATTATAAGAATAATGTGATAAATTATTTTTAATTATAAATAAAAAATAAAAAATAAAAATAATAATAATATAAAAATAAATAAAAAAAGAATAAAAAAAATAATAAAAGAATTAAAATTAACAATAGGTAATAATTAATAATTACGAAAAAAAATTAGTAATTGTAATGAATAATATTAGAATTGACAAAAAATATTTCAAATGCGTAAGAGTTATTTTTTTCTCATAATTAATTAAATTGTCAACTAAAATCGTAAATTCTAATTAGATTCATATTATTTTCCATTTAGGAAAAGCATCATCGACGAATAGCAGCGACAGAAAACTACACACTCACAGGACTGTATCCAAATACATTGTATTTTGTTTGGCTGGCAGCTCGTACACAAAGAGGAGAAGGTGCAACGACAACACCTTATCCAGTTCGCACAAAGCAGTATGGTAAGCAGCAAAAAAAATTAACCGAAAAAAAACAAACGAAAAAAAAAACAGTGAATAAAAGTTCATGCAGCGAGGAGTGCCCAAAAAAGAGAAAAAAAATAATAATCAATTTTATCACTGGGGAAAAAAATAGAAAGAAATTAAAGAAGTACTAAAAATTATTTTCAATAATTAAAAATTTGAAATTGATTTCTAGTTACTTTTCTTTTTGCTCTCCATATGAAAAATTTGATTGGCACAGCAGGTAGGAGAGATGCCGTAGCGCTAGACGCTCCTGCTAAGTAGAGTAAGCTATTCTCAAGTATAAAGTGAAAAGAAAAAAAAGAAAGAAAAACCTTCCAGAAATTAAAAAAAAAATTAATTTTCTTTTTAATTTTAATTTTTTTTTTCCTTTTTTGAACGTCAACGAATTCTCAAAGTTCGTTGAAACGTGTGGGAGAGTGAGAATGATATATGCATGCCACTTTTTTTGCAAAAGAAAAATCGTTTTTGGATGCCACTTTATATATATATTTTTATATATACGTATACATATCAATACATATAACTTGCACTAAAGCACTGCATCGAATATATGTGTGTGCATTTTGGGCACCTTTTTTTAATTAATATATATATAATTCTCAATAATCTTTAATTACCTATTATTATCATTTTTTTTTTCTTATTAAAACGTCTTTGGTTCTCTCGTCTTATTTTCGAGTGATCTTTTTTTTAATAATTATATTTTCGCTCGAGAATTTTTTTTTTCTCTAGTTCTTAGACGAATTGAGCCAAAACGTAATTTTAATAATTTTTTCGTTTCATTATTATTCAAAGGAGCAATTCTTTTTAATTGGCTCCTTTAAGAAATAATTGTTTCATTGTTTTTTTTAAACAATCCTTTTCAATCACTAATTATTAATTAACGCAATTATGACTCACTCGAATAATTTATCGAATCCTGTTGGTTACAAATCAAAAAAATTTTTTCGAATGCTGCAATTTAGAAAAATCTGTACATTTTTTTAATACTTTTTTCTACTCAAATATTTACTGTTCTGAAATATTTTCTATACTAAAATATTTTTCTACTGAAGTATTTTCTGTAGTAAAATATTTTTGGTACTAAAATAATTTTTCTACTAAAATATGTTTCGTAGGTACTGAAATATTTTTCTACTGAAATATTTTCTGTAGAAAAATATTTTCTGTAGTAAAATATTTTCTGTAGTAAAATATTTTCTGTACTAAAATATTTTTGTACTAAAATATTTTCTACACTAAAATACTTTTGGTACTAAAATATTTTCGGTACTAAAATATTTTTTCTACTAAAATATGTTTCGTGCTGAAATATTTTTTCTAGAAAAAAAAATTTTTGATTCTAAATAGTTGTAGTGAAATGTAGAAAGAAAAATTTTACTATTAGTTTTTTTTTTCTTTTGGAATAACTTAGAACTGGATTCGGATATAAATTCGATTTGTGAGATGAAGAATAATTATTGATTAGTGATTGTTTATCCTGGACCAAAAATTTTTTTTTTTTTGTTTTTCGTTTTTTTCCCTTCCTATAATTGAGTGTTATGCAGTACCCGGGGCTCCGCCTCAGAATGTAAGTGGAAGAGCAGTCAGCCCAACGTCAATTTTGGTATCATGGGATCCACCACCTGCTGAACATACACATGGAAGGATTACATACTACAAACTGCAGGCCGTTGAGAGTGGACGTTCTGATTCGGAAGCTCGACTTGTCACGCTCAACAAAACGCAATTTTTGTTGGACGAACTGAAAAAATGGACCGAATATCGAATTTGGGTTGCTGCCGGAACGAGCGTAGGTGATGGACCATCAAGTCGTCCATTGACTGTCAGAACTCACGAGGATGGTATGTACCATTAAATTGAAAACAAAAATTTTTTTCTACCTTCAAAAAAAAAAAAAAAAAAAAAAAGAATAAAATAACGCCTGCAAGGAGTATGGCGTGAGGAATGCGTTCTGAAAAATAAAAAACAGCCGAATGTTGAAACATATTTATTTTTTCTCAAAAGACAGAAAAAATGCTTTTAACTTATCTGCTTTTTATAAAAAGCTCTCTTAATATTAATTATATACAAGCACCTATTAAAATTTTCATCAAAATTTAACTTCACAAAAAAAAATTCATTTCTGAATATGAGAAATTTTCATCTTTTTTCCAATAAATTGTAATCTATTTAATTTTTTCAATAATTTTCATACTTTAGTAAACTATGAATATTCAGAAACTTTAATTAATAAATTTCACTCTATTAAATTTTTTCAATAATTTTCATTATTTAGTAAATTACTTTCAATAAATTTAATTAAAAACAGAATAACTTTATTTAATATTAAATACAAAAAATAATTTATTATTAATAGTATTTGTAGCATTAATATAAAAATATTTCTCGCTTTCGAAACGCGTAAATTCCCTTTACATGATGAAAAATTAAATAGAAACATATATATTTAATATTTTTATCTCCAATTTTTTAATTCACAAAAAATTGTACAGTGCACAAAAAAATATTGCTACTTATTTCTTTTTCTTTACAAATATTTTTTACAAATAGAAAAAATTCGACTTTTTTCGTACTTCTCAAAACCGCTCTTTGCAGGTGGCAAAAGAAAAAAATATATAAAGAAAAACACAAACGGATGAAATGTCTCTTTAATAGAGACCAAAAATATAAAAGCCCGCCAAAAATCCGATGAGATTTGCGCGTTTCTAGTGCGAGATACGCCAACTTGGATTTTTTTTAAACTTTAATTATATTTTCGATTTCAGATTCCAACTAATTTCTCTTCTTCAAAAAAAAAACCTTCTAATTCCTTTCAATCTCAAACTGACCAAAAGTAAAAACACAATCCTATTTTTATGTTCTTATTCTTCATTCTTTTTCTCCATTTTGATAATATTTGTAAATGACTAATATACTCATTATTATCATTCTTTAATTTCACTTTTCATAAATCCAAGTTTATACATGAGAAAAAAAAATTGAGAAATCAAATTTTTTTTTTCAAAAATAGGTAATAAAAAAATTTATTTTTAAAATGATTTTATTTTCATTAGTATTTTCAAAAGTAATTCAAACAAAAGTTAAAACTAATTCATACAAAAATTTGAAACTAATTCATACAAAAATTAAAACAATTATAGAACAAATTTGAAACTAATTCACCAAAAATTGATACAAATTTTCACGCAAAAATTTCAAAACAGTTTCACCAAAAATAGAACAATTTTTTAGTGTACAAAGTAAGAATATGATTATTTTGAACAAAAAAAAACTAAACAAATATAAACTCATTTATTTTTCTTCAACAAAACTGTAAACATTTTAGACAAAATGCTAACTTCTTATCTTTTTACAAATAGAGAACCATTTTTTATTATTTTCACAAAAATAGAAGCATTTTTTGTTGCAGTAATAAAAAGTATACTCATAATATTTGACATTTTCACTACAATAATAGAGAAATAATTATTTTCTACAAAGTAAAAACATTAAGAAAAAGGAAAAAATTTTACCAAATATAGAAAGATTTTTTAAAACATAAATACTTTTTCCTGCAGAGTAAACATTTTAAAAAAAAGATGACACTTTTACCAATTATAGAGAGATTTTTTCAAATATAAATATATTTTCTGCAAAGTAAAAATATTTTTCTAAAAAAAATTTTGTCAATAAACAAGAAAACTTTTTGAATTTATAAATATTTTTCTATAAAGTAAAAACATTTTTCGAAATAAAAATAGCTTTTTCTGTAAAGTAAACAAACATTTTGAAAATCAGCAATTTTGTCTACAAAATAAAACATTTAAAAAAAAAGAAAAATGCAAATTTAATAAAATTGAGTTATAAATAATTATAGATTAATAATAAAAAATGTTTTCTAAAAAAACAAAAATTAATTATAATCTTTTTAAATTTTTAATCGTTTCACAACCAATATAAAAATAGCAAACAAAAAAATTTAAGATTCAGCAGTAGAATTTTGTCTGCAAAATAGAACATTTTTTTCAAAAGACAGAAAAAAGCAAATTTAATAGAAATGAAAAATATATAATTATTGATTTAAATTTAAAAAATATTTGTTAATCAAACAAAAATTAGTAAATTTTCCTAATTTTTCAATCGCTACAAATCCAATATAAAAATAAAAAAAATCCTCTAAAAAGTAAAAATGTTTGTTGAAAGAAATGATATTTGTCACTAATAAAATCTATTAAAAAAAAAGAAAACATAATTACTTGGAGAATCTTACTGACTATTTCTTCTACTAACTTAATTTTTAAAGTTTCTTCTAACTTTTTTCCCCTCCGCGAATTTTTGAGTCCAAAATTTCCAATTCTCTATTGCGAATTAAAGCCGAAAATAATATGTTCAAATAATAATAATTAAATAAGCCTTGCCTACAAAAAAAAACAATATTTTTCCTTTTTGGCTGGCAAAATTTTATATTTTTGGAAAAATTAAGCGGCGAAATTAGTGTTTTTTTTTTGTTTGTTGTCTGTGATATCCCGTTTTGTGCCCCCCGCCACAAAAAAAACAGGATTTTTTCCAGGTACACGCAGCCACGGATTTATATTTGGATCGCTGATTAATAATAATTTTTTTGCAATTCAGCGAAAAAGAAAATATGAAATATTTAAACACTAATAGAAAAAATACAATCTAAAAATATCTTTTCAGGGCCTAACATTATTTTTTTTTTTGCCACTTCATTAGATTTTCTTTGTGTGCCATAAACTTTGATGGAAAAAATAGACATAATTTTTTTCATGATACAAAAAGAAAACACATTAATTATAATACTCAACCAAATATATTTTTGTCTTTTTCTTAAAGCATTTGCAGGAGGATGATCCAGGTTTATAAAAAAAAACAGCTAGTTTTTAAGATAATTAATAATTTTACACTATTACGTATACCTTTACTTAATAATATGTAATCACAAATAATCTATGTTTTTTTTCCAATGAATTTATATAATTACGTGATTCAGTAACATTTTTTTGTTAAAAACTTCTTTTATAGTTTATTTCACTCACTTTTTGCCACGTCTCATGAAAATATAATAGAAGATCAGTAAAAACTGTCAAACTTTCGGAAGGACTTTTTCTTACTTTCGAATTCTTTTTCGTGGAAAAAAAAATTTTAAAAAGAAAATGAAAATATAAAAAAGGAAAAATAGTAAAAAGGAAAAATAGAAAATATGGAGAAATAGAAAAATAGAAAAAAGAAAAATAGAAAAAAGGAAAAGTAGAAAAATAGAAAAAAGTAAAAAACTAAAAATGAGAAAACTTTGTAACGTAGTGAATTTTTTTCGTCACAGAAAAAAAATCATTGGGTCAAAAGTTTACCGAAGGCGAAAGTACGAAATACTTGAAAGAATGACAGGGATTACTGACTACGCTTATTATTATGATTACTATTATTATTATTATTATTATCATTACTATTTTATTATAATATATTTAGCATTACACGCGAATGTATTTCACACACAAGAATATATATATAAACGCACTTAATTCTTTTTTTCACTATATATATTCTACATATATTTCTATATCTCTGATATAAGGCTCTTCTGTCTTTAGTTGAGATTTAGTTCTATCGTTTGCACATGTTTAGAGCATGCAACTTCGTTTGTTTAAGATCCCAAAAGTCCACCAGCATCCAGAAATTTAAAAAAGAAAAAGAATTTTTTTTTTCCTCTATCACCATCCAATTATCCTTAAAAGAAAAATTTCCTTTTCACCCTTCGTCAAAATAAACTAAAAGAAAAAAAGAAAAAAAACTGGAAAAACTGCACTAAACTCTACCGAGTCTGAAATTTTGAACTTAATTTTCTACAATCCCATCCGATGAATGGCATGCCGATGCATGGGATTTTAATTTTTGCCTGATAAAATACCTGCGAAAACCGCAAAAAAATTGTTTTTATTTTTTAGTTTATAACGAAAAGTAAGGGGGGAAATTTTTTTCCACCACCTGCACGTATAATTTTCTTTTTTTTATTTTGAGTTTAAAATACCCTGATAGCAAGTAATCTTGCTGGTTTTTTTTCTTTCTTTTTTGAGTAAGAATTTCTGAAACGTCCCACCAAAAAGTTGAAAATTTTTATTTTTTACCTAAATATTAATTTTTATGCATCATTTTAAAGCAATATTACTACGTAAAAGGATTTTGGAAGAAAAATCTACTCCTTTTATTAAGAATTGATTATTTTTACTACTTTTTTCAAAAATAAATTTTAGAAAAACATTTCAGAACCGATTTCAATTATTAAATTATTAATTAATTATATAATTTAAATAATTATTAAATTATTCCACAAAATTATTTTTAATTTAAGGTAATTTCTTGTGAGGAATTCAATTGTCATAAAATAAAACCATTCAGAAAAATGTTTGACTCTTTTTGAACTTTTATTTTTCTTAAAAATTCGAGGATTTTAAAATCCATGCGTAATTTTGTGAAAAATATATTTTTGAATCTAGAAAAAAATTGGCGAATGAAAAAACTGATTTTTACATTTTTTAAAGCATTTATTTTATAAGAACTTAACTTTTAGGCTGAAAATGCGTAAAAATACCATTGTTATTCAATTTTTTTTATTTGAAAATTCATTTGCTCATTTTTCTAACTAATTTCAAATCATAATTTTATATTTTTTTTATATATAAAAATTATGATCTGAAATTAGTTAGACAAATAAACAAATAAATTTCCAAATAAAAAATGAAATAATAATTTGTATTTTTTAATATTTTCAGAATAAAAACAAAGATTTAAAAAAAATGCTTTAAAAATTTTGAAAATCGATTTTTTCATTTGACAATTTTTTTTA